TCAGTCTTTAATTGTAGTGTCTGTTCATTTACAAGCATAAGCTCGGCTAACGCTAATATAATGAGCATTAGTGTTGTCACGGTACCAAAATTTCAGTATTCGGTACCAATACCAGTGTCTTTAAAGTGTTTTGCTAGTTTGGTGTGTTTCCTCGTTTTGATGTTGCCACGTCTCCGTGCTTTTATGAAGAGAGAGCATCTGCGCACCTTTCGGATAGCGCATCAAGAACCGTGTTGACCGGGTACTCGGTACCACCGGTACTTAAAAAAACCTGGTACCGTAATGTTTTCATTTTTTTAGTACCGACTTGTTACCGAAGTACCGGGTCTTTTGACAACACTAATGAGCATTAGAATGAAGTTTCTTTATTAACTATTCAATGCTCCTATAACTTTTAGGGTAAAAAAAACAAACAGGAGGACATGATGATATTGACTATTTTTACACACCAGAGGCTTTTAAATGAGTAGTGAATCTAAAATATGCGTGTTAGAGAATGTACAAATGGTTAACATTGTGTCATATCAGTCAGAAAAGCAGTTCTGGGCTTTTTTTTAAGCTAACTTAGTTGTTATTCTTGGCTGAATAACTCTAGGTTTTCAAAAGCCATTTAAAATTAAATATGTTTGAATTAAATGAAAGTATAGTCCAATTTTTTAATTAGCATGTTTTTGTGTTTTGCTTCGTTACCGAAGTTGGTACCGAGAACCGTGGATTTTCACTGGTATTGGTACGGAATACTGAAATTTTGGTACCGTGACAACACTAGCAGCACATATTCAATAAAAATAATCACAAAACCCATTTCAACCACAACTTTCATAGATTTACAAGAAGAGACATTTCATTCTTACAAGTACATCTAATGGCTGACATGCATTAAGCATCGCTCTTCATCTAACCAATGCAAACCTCCTACAAACACTGAAAATTAGTGATTCTAATCAAACCCTCCAGAACACGGTCAACAGGCCTCAGAGCAGCAGAATTCATCCTCAGCGAACACAAAACGCTGATAATTAAATGTTTCTGCACTCCTGAATAATTCAGCAAAGATTGATTTTCCCATTTCTGCACTCGTTTACTAAAACAACTACCCCTATCTACTGTATTAACGACAAAAGGAACAGAACGTCTCGACCACAACACTTGGACGTCACCTCTCAGGACAATCTGCCCGTTTATATGATAGCGACAATCACAAACACACTCGAGACTCTTCCAGGAGCTTTAAAGCAACGCTAATCATTTCTTTCTGTCATGCAAAGCCAAACACAAACCTCAAACGAAAAGACAGATCAGCTGGATATCAGATGAGAAACACTGATAAACTCTACGCTCCTTTCACTAAGTACACATGGATACGGATCGAGAGCGATTGATGGTTGAGTGTCAACTTCTCAGAGAGCTTGATTGAAGCTCAAAGCAGCTTTAAACACGACACACCTGACGACTTGACATCATAACCTCTGCCCAAGGCTGCATTTCTATTAACAAGGTGTGTATCTTCAGATTTTCTTGGAGCAAAACCGTGTAAATATCACAAAGCAGGGTCAGTCTTTCAAACAACACTGTGATCTGACAAGCTTGATTACTGAAGCTGTGGGTAAAAATGTTTTAGAAAGCAGTTTGAGAGTTTTGCTCTACTGTATTTCAAGGGAAACCTGCTGTGACGGGATCTAAAGCATCACACGCACTCAGGACTTCTCCAGAAATCCATCATGAACGTCTCTAACCCGCTAAACATTTCTTTCTTCCATGCAAAGCCAAACACAGAACTCAGACGTCATGCAAAATTCTACTTGCTGGACAAGAATTTCCTCAAGACCCTGCTTACACTTAAAAATAGGCTAAATATTCTTTATTGGCATTGATGGATCCACGAAGAACCTTTAACATCCATGGAAACTTTCCAGTTTTTTACAGTGGGAAAATAACATTAAACCAAGTGTACACTACAAGACTGAAGATCGCTGCATTGTGCACAATTACAGACTCCTGAATCGTGCTCCTGGTGAAACACAACGTTTCAAAGACTTCTCACAGAAAACCAGAGCATCTCGTTACTCAAAACAGCCTTCTGTTAGCTTCAGTACAGCTTCAGTTAATTCATTCTGATTCCATTTCTTCAAGCAAACAAAAACCATGGTATTATCACAGTACTTTATATGAAATATGATAATCACACCTGCTATCTAGGTAAATACTAACAACTTAGTGAGCGTTTACAGGGACTTGCATAACACTTTGACATGTTACCCACTAAAGTCAAGCCCAAAATAAGTATTAAGGCCTGTTCACACCAGGAACGATAACATTCTGTTTATTAGTCTGTCGCTTTAAAGGGGTCATATGATGCAATTTCAAGTTTTCCTTTCTCTTTGGAGTGTTACAAAGAGAGAGCGCGCGAGAGACAGAGAGAGAGAGCGCGAGAGACAGAGAGAGAGCGAGAGCGAGAGAGAGAGAGAGAGAGAGGGGGTCACATCACAGTTTATGAGGATTGTTTTGAGTAGCGATTGGAGGGGTTTTGTTGTGAAAACCTGGCAACCCTGCGGTCAATGTTTTCACACTAGCGTTACATTAGCCGAAAAACAACAACAAAGGTTCTAAAAGTGATTACAACCATATCGTTCCTCTGTGCCATTTTCACTACGCGTATTACTAGTGTATTATTCTAGTTATGGTTAATGGCGCTTCAAAGGAAAGAACTCTGTTCTGATGAGCAGGTCTGAGGGGTTTTAATAATAATAAGCGCGCTGTTCGAAACGCGACGCGACGAATCGAGAACGCCTCCGCCGTTCGGCACCGTTCTGCTTCTCACGAGTCAGTTTAATCACGCTTTGGGTGAATAATTACCCGTTATCCTTTCACTGGCGACTTTCGTGAGCTTTACCAGAGACACACACATCGATACCTGTTCCATTTAAAGCGTTCAAACGCGACACTTACCCGTTAATCCCTCGCGTTCAGCCAATACGATGAAACAGCGCTGGTCCTCGCTGTAGGTCGGCGTTGTGGCGTTTTTGTCGCGTTTCCAGTGATTTGGAGTCAATATTTACCTCACAAAACGGGTTAATTAATTAGCCTGTGGCGGCTAAGCGAACGCCAGCTAAGTCGAAATGACAATCGGCCGCCTCACGAACTCGTGAGCGCATCACTACCGCTCAGGATGGGTTAGGTGAACATGTTTAAAGTCATAACCCTCCGGTAACCGAATAACGACAGCCCGCCGCCGCTTAATGCCGTTAAATCGCCACCGAGCACGAGTTCGCGGCGACTGTCAGCAGCGCGCGGCGATCAAACCTGAGCTCGAGTGGGCGGGGCCGTGACGTCAGAGGTAAACCTCACAAAAAGACCCCGACAAACACACGGACAAGACCGCTGTCTCTTTCTGCGCTTTACGTCACTGTTCCATGTGTTTGTGCTTACAGGAAACAGAGGATGGCGCTGTCGGCATCGTTTCATGCTCGGATGAATATGCAAATAAGGGTTTGATGCATCTGATTATAGTATTGATATTGTAATGTTACAATTTGAGTTAACCTGTAACGAACAATTATATATTCAACATCATCAACACCGATGTCTATATATATAGGCCTATATATATATATATATATATATATATATATATATATATAAAAAAAAAAGCTTTTTTTAATCAGAGCAGACTGCACTTGTCGGAAGGAGGGACTTTGTAGAAAACGAAGCGTTTGAGACAGGCGGGGCATAGAGGACCTACAATAATGTACAGGATTTGAAAAATAATGTGTTTTTTGAACATTAAAGCATGTCAACATATTCTGTTACACCAAATACACAAAATAATTATCTTTAAAAAAGCATCATATGACCCCTTTAAATGCTTGGGCTCGATGATTCTGATTGGCTGTCAATCATTGTTGCCAAGTCTCCGGTTTTCCCTCGGAATCGGACTACTTTAACACAGTTGCCGCGAGTTGAAGCAACATCAATAACGTGATATTTAGCTTCTGGGATGCGACTTTTACCAGGGGGACCCAGACAGAAACGTGAATTTTATGTCAGGAACTCGATTTTTAACTGGGGATCCCTCTAAACACGACTGTGCTATTATGAGGATTGTTTTGAGTAGCGATTGGAGGGGTTTTGTTGTGAAAACCTGGCAACCCTGCGGTCAATGTTTTCACACTAGCGTTACATTAGCCGAAAAACAACAACAAAGGTTCTAAAAGTGATTACAACCATATCGTTCCTCTGTGCCATCATAATCAGACTACAGTTACTTTTTTATTGATTAAATTATTACATGTTATTCACACGATATCAATAGATTATTCATAATTTCCTAATTCCTCTTTTTCATTTTTAAATGTTCCTTTCTAATACCGCTTACATACATTCAGAAAGTCTTCATCAGTCACTAGTCAGGTGGCTACACAGCATTTACAAAAAAAATCAGTTCAGGTGTTTCAACATTGCATCAATTACTGATGAACACATTCACGTTTATTTGAATTATCACTCAGTAGGTTATTTAATCATCTATTACAATGTCTTTGGATGCACAAATTCACGTTATTTCTTATTTGCATGTAATGCATGCATTCCCAAACCTTTGTCATCTGAACATCTCTCACATAATATACTTACTTGAAGTACCCCTGAGACTTAAAAATAAATATTTTAATAATTAAGTATCACATTTGCATGTTCATGGGTCTCTGAAGTTGGTTAAAACAATTTTTTTTTAAATATTTTTTTAATAAGTGTATTTTTTTGATTGATGTTATTTTAAAATCATGTACATTTTTATGATTTAATTAAATTATTTGCTTTTCATTAAACTCACGAACCCCCTGCAGTTCCTTTATGAACCCCAGTTTGAGAAACCTTTATAATGTAATGTAATGTTTAATGCACCTCATGTTGTAAATAACAACGAATGGAAAATTTTTTTCTTTTTCATTTTCTTTGCATTTTTAAATAAATATGGTACAAAATTGTCCTGATTAAATAAATGTGGTAAACGAGTCAGATCAAAAGTAATCTAAAAGTAATCAAAAAGTAGTCTGATTATATTACCTAAAATGTGTAATGTAATGGATTACGTTACTAACTACAAATTGTGTCATGTCATTGGGAATCAGTAATGGATTACACTTTTCAAGTAATCTACCCAGCACTCTACACACACACACACACACACTCACACACACACACACATTGTGTTTCCATGTTTTATGGGGACATTCCATAGGCGTAATGGTTTTTATACTGTACAAACTGTATGTGCTATTGCCCTACACCAACCCTACCCCTAAACCTACCCCTCACAGGAAACTTTGTGCATTTTTACTTTCTCAAAAAAAACTCATTCTGTATGATTTATAAGCTTGTTTCCTCATGGGGACCTCAAAAATGTCCCCACAAGGTCAAAATTTACTAGTATTACTATCCTTGTGGGGACATTTGGTCCCCATAACGTGATAAATACCAGGCACACACACACACACACACACACCACACACACACACACACATTTTGGAATATTGTGATTATGCTGGCATGGTGTATTTGGCTAATGTACAAAGCAAAATATATTCTGTTTATATTTTAATTCACAAATTGCTTGTAAATTTCACAAACAGTTACAATTAAATTGCATATAAAACATTAAATTACACATGAAATTCTGAAGTAGAAAAACTAAAATGCTATTTTCTTGCAAAAAGTATTCCAATACATTTTTTATAACTATGTTTATTGTGTATACTGGCTACTATACAAAGTAACATAAAACAATATTGTTTATATTTTCACAAAACATGTATTTTATATGTAACATTTTATGCTCTTAGTATTGTAAATATGCTGGAATGGTGTATATTGGCTACTGTACAAAGTAAAATAAATACTTTTTATAAAATAATTGTATTTATTCTTTATAAAATAAAACTGTCTTTTCTTTCCGGACTGGACAATAAAGTATATTCTGACTCTGGTCCATTCTAATATTTCAAAGCAGAGTCTAACTTAGATGTCAGACTCATATTGTTATGATTTTACATTTAAAACAATGACAAATGTTTAGCCTATCAGTCAAATCAAAAGGCTGGAGCTTGTGGTTTTTGCAGCACGTGTTGTGTGCTTGATTTCAGACCGGTTCTCATGCGTGACATTTCAGTACGTGTGTCCTGTCACTTGTTGATTTTTCTTCTTTGTCTGAGGTCAGGAGCATTCCAAATAAAGCACAGAATGAAGTCACGCTTCACTCTCACCTTTCTCCTATATAGTGTGACCACGGCAGATCAGACTGTACCTGTAATGTATTGATGGATTATTTCTTCTCAAACACTAGTTGAGTCTATTAGGTCATCTTGTGGGGTTATTTGCACAATCTTGTGTATCTTAGTGCAACTCATCAGTGTCTCTGACAAACTGGTGCGTTACTATCTAGTGCACTGGATAAAACTGGATTGGTTTGCCAGCGGCTGTTTTGTCTCCTGTCCTGAGAAAAACATCATGAGGGCAATTAAACCTTGTGCATTGCTTACTAGTTACTGTAGGGTCAGAAATGTTACCTGTTACCTGTAACATTTTCTGTAATTAAAGTTCTCAATCTCCCCTAATAAAATATAAGATGTCAATTCTTTTTCAGAATTCGCCCATCTGTGATGGAAGTATTTAGTGGCATAATAGTTGTCTGTGAAGAACTTAAGCTAATGTTTGTCTGAAATGATCAAATTCGACATTTAAATATAACCTGAGAGACAAAATAAACCAAACCAAAGCATTTAATAGAACGTACTGATGTGGCTAAAAAAGACTCGCTGAAAAAAAAAAAAAAAGAAGCCAGAGAGTTAAAGGTTATCAGGTCACATTTGGTACAGCAAACATTTGTGGCATCACAACATTAACGAGAATACAAATGATTCCTACTATTTTTAAAGAATTCCGTGATTATCAAAAGAAAAATGGCAGATGATGAACCACAAAACTAACAACACCAAACTTTAATAAAAGAGAGGAGAAACATGACAAAGTTTACAAATGCATTTATAAATGCAACAGTTGTACGGCTCACATGATGCAACCCATGCACAGATGACAGCATTCATCATGTCTGATCTCCATAAGAACACCGATGTGTGTCCACTAGACGGCGCCTGCGCACTGCGAGTCTGAGAGGCTCAGCATCTGCTGATGGTCTGATGTCCCGCGGGTTCATTAAGCTATCTGTGTTAATTAATCACCCTCAATCACTCCACAAGCCCATGTAGGGATGAAAAAGATTCTATCGATATTCTTTACCGTTGCTTTTTATTTATTGCTCGTGCTGCTTGCATATTGCAATGTTTAGTGTTAAATGGCCAGACATTGAATAGTTTGCGTTTAAGTCAGTAAACAGGGTTTAAAAACCTGATGCACGAGCTCACTGCCACATTTTACCACTGAAAAAGAAAGCAGTAATTTTTAATCAAATTTCACTCAAAAAATCGACTACACAAAAATGGCAAATAACGCTGAATTAAACGTGCACTCTAACAAATGCTGGGTTGTTTCAACCCAACTTTGGGTCAAATATGGACTAACCCAACCGTTGGGTTAAATTTTCACTGCCACATTTTACCACTGAAAAAGAAAGCAGTAATTTTTAATCAAATTTCACTCAAAAAATCGACTACACAAAAATGGCAAATAACGCTGAATTAAACGTGCACTCTAAAAAATGCTGGGTTGTTTCAACCCAACTTTGGGTCAAATATGGACTAACCCAACTTTTGGGTTAAAAATTTAATGTAAAAATTTAACCCAACGGTTGGGTTAGTCCATATTTGACCCAAAGTTGGGTTGAAACAACCCAGCATTTTTTAGAGTGTGAAATTTCATGTAGTCCAATAAACTTTGTATTAGCCTATTTATCACTTCGAAAAATTATTTTTTAAGTGTATCAGCACTATTAAACTGTATGATAGCCAATTCTTTGCTATTTTTGTTTTCTAAAAAAAATAAATAAAACTAATTCTTAAACTAATCTTTTACGATGTTCGACATTCACTAAGCAATCCTGAAACTCTGGCACTTTACTGTCCTCTTAATAAATGTACAGACGTTTATGTATTTGATTTAAATAGCTCTAATGGTCATTTTGTTATCATTTACCGGTTTGGCTTTCTTCTGAGGAACACAAGAAGATATTTTAAAAACGTTGGGAACCAAACCATTTTTCAAACCATCCAAACAGGTTCAGAAGGACAGTAAGCGTTGCAGAAAGCAGAATGCTCATTTTTGTGCGAACTACCCCTTTAATCGTCATAGTTTGGGAACTTTACGCTTAATGGAGCCATGCAGTTGGTTGAGTTTTTGCACGCTGGTCGATGCATGAACAGATGCACCACACTGGACTTCCCCATTTGAAACAGCCGGGCTTGCGTCAGATTGACCGATCTCGTGTTGCCTTGTGATCTGTTTGGTTTGGATGCTTTAGGGTTACGATGCTGGGGGTCACTGGGACAGAGGTGAGAGTTTGGACTTCGCTTGGGCAGCCACGGCTCGACGTGGCACTGTAAGTGTCGTATGTTTATTTGCTCGCGCTAATGATTAACTCCAGCAGAGCTATATATACATGCTTCAGAGAGGAGTGTGCATGATGTGCATCCCAGCAGCGCGTCCTCCCTCCCCTCGAGCGCGTGTATATGTGTGACAGCCAGAGCGTCATTGGTGCGTCCCTTAAACGATTCACAACTTTTGATGGATTACCCCACTTCTGAGTGCTCAGGTGCGGCTCAGTCCTCTCCGTCCACTCGCTAGTGCGCGTCTCCCCAAACCTGTCAGACTCAAACGAGCGAAAGCAAAGTCACATGTTCTTAGTGTCGTTCTCGTGGGCTCACATGTGCGGGCTTGCGTCCGCGGTGCTGTCCACGCTGGTGGTGCTGAGCGCGTTTACGGTGAATGGAACGAGCGCGGCCACCACCGGCTGCCCGACGTGCGGCATGCTGGCGATGGAGAAGAGCACGGAGGAACGTTACCTGGTCGAGATGGCCAAACAGCGGATCCTGGACAAGCTTCACCTGCGGGAGAGGCCGAACATCACGCAGACGGTGCCCCGTGCCGCGCTCATGACGGCGCTGCGCAAGCTGCACGCGGGCCGCGTCAGACAGGACGGAACGCTGGAGCTGGACAACAACGTGCCCAACTCGCGCACCAGTAGCCAGGCATACGAGATAGTGAGCTTCGCTGATGTCGGTGAGTGTGCATCTGACTTACAGAGAGTTTATAGAAGCGTTCTTAGCACAAACTGGTGCGCACCTGCGTTTACACAGATTCTCACATTGAACTGAATGCTTTTAGGACCGCTTTACACAGAAAACCTTTTTTCTCAAACTATAGAATAACGGTGAGCACATCTGACTTATAAATCGTTCAGAAAAGCACTCTTAAAATTACATCCCTTACATCAGTTCTCAGCTGAATTGAATGGATTTACGAACGATTTACATAGAAGAAGAAACAAAAACAGTTATCTGGTGAAAATACTCAAATGAATGGTTTTAAGAACGATTTACACTGTTCAGATGCGGTTTCTTCAATGGTTAACTGGTTTTTAAAGGTCAGAGCAAACTATAGCCTACCCTAAACAATGTTATATGCATATTTACAAAGTACATCTGAATTATTGTGCCTCTAAATCGTTCATAACGATCGGTACGTGCACTTTATGTAAATTCTCACGTTTATTTCAGATACATTAAGACATTTTATAACATATACTCAAACTGAAAAATGCATGTAAACTAAATATTAAAATATTACGATGCATCTTATTTTTGACATGAGTGGGCGTGGTCATTTGAACAGGCCAGACTTCCGGCGTAATGGTTTCTAATTTTAGCTGTACAATGCTTTTCTCTTTTAAGTTCTGTTTTTTTTATTTTATTTAAACTTTGTCAAATACACAAAATGTGTAAATTTGAGAAATATTTGAAGAACTTGCTGTTGAATTCTGTAATTTTGAAAGTTCAGCCGGTTATGCTGCTTTATAATGTAAACTGTTTTTTGCCATCATATAATTTTTATTTAATAACAAACACACAAACTGGTTTGTAGCACAAATCATTTTACCAACAAAAAAAAACCTAGAAACAAATTTCACTCTAAAATGACTAGTAAATTTAACATTTAATTACAAAGAAATGTACGTGAATTAAGCGTGAAATTGTGAAGTATAAAGACTGTAATAGTATTTTGTTCTCCTTTCTGTAATCTTGTTCAAAAAAAAAAATTTTTTTAATACAGTTTACACTCTAAAAAAAAATGCTGGGTTGTTTCAACCCAACTTTGGGTCAAATATGGACTAACCCAGCTGTTGGGTTAAATTTTTTTATTACATTTGTAACCCAAAAGTTGGGTTAGTCCAAATTTGACCCAAAGTTGGGTTGAAACAACCCAGCATTTTTGTTTAGAGTGTAGCTATTCACCAACAGCGCCTAATGAATCAGAAGTCTCGCACATTCACAGAAAACATCTTACTTCCGCGTTGCATTATAAGCACTTCTTCTAAGCACTTCTGTCTGATTTCTCTCCAGATGCCGAGGTCTCTGCCGGCACCGACACCAGTCTGTCGTTCCAGTTCCTGCAGGAGAAAGGTCACAGCGTGCAGGTGCTGCAGTCGTCGCTGTGGCTGTACGTGAGTCCGGCTGACGCCCCTCATCACGGCGGCCGCGTAAACGCAGAAATCTCCCTGCCGGCGTCGAGCGGCGCTAATCGCACGCTGCTGCTCCAGAGAAGCGTGGATGTGTCACGAGGCGGATGGCACACGTTCCCCGTAACCGGCGCCCTGCAGGCCTTCCTGGACGGCGGTCAGCGGAGGCTCCGTCTGGAGGTGCACTGCGAAGACGGCGGCCGCAACCTGTGCAGCCGCGAGGCGTCCGGCGACTCCTCGCACCAGCCGTTCCTGGTGGCGCAGGTGCAGTTGCGCGACGACGCCAACAAGCACGCCCTGAGCAAGCGCTCCCTGCGATGCGGCGACGACGTGAGCGTGTGCTGCAGGAAAGACTTCTACATCAAGTTCCGCGACATACAGTGGCAGGACTGGATCATAGCACCAGAGGGCTACCACATGAACTACTGCATGGGACAGTGTCCACAGCATTTATCCGGCTCGCCCGGCATCGCCTCCTCCTTCCACGCCACCGTCTTCAGTCAACTGAAGGCTAACGGCATCCACACGGCCGTGTCGTCCTGCTGCGTCCCCATCCAGAGACGGCCGCTCTCCATGGTCTACTTCAACTCGCAGCACACCATCGTGAAGACCGACGTCCAAGACATGATCGTCGAGTCCTGTGGGTGCACATAAAGAACAATTACAGGAGACCACAAACCTAACAGTACACAGCCGCACACCTATTTATCTGCTTTATCAGGAAGAGGCGAAATATTCTCTAATCGAGGCTTTTTTTATAGATGTTGAAATACTCAGGGAAATAAAAGCCACGCTTACCCAACATGACAGTAAACATTTAGTTATTGCCACACGTCCCAGCAAAGGCCTGGCAGCAGCAGTGCTGCATTAGTAATAAATGCTTGAATATTTCTCTCACATTAGTTCTCAAAGCTTACTTTTGACTGTTTACGCTAAGCACCAGCAAATGCAACTAAATATGTGTACTGGCTTTCCTTTCAAGCTGCTTATTTTCCATTCAAACAGATACACTTACTTTTATTTGTAACATTAATAATAATAATAATAATAATAAGTATTATTTATATAGCACCTTTGCAAAAGTGGTACAATAATCTACAAACAGTACAATCACCTACATTGTACATGTTACAGGTGTATTTTTTGTGTTTATTTTAAGTGTTTATTCTGTCTCATGTTCTCCTTTTGTTTAGTTTGAAGCACTTCCTAGGAATGCATATGCATCGTGTAGGGAATCTGCAACTGCACTTTATATGTTATTTTGTGTATAAATCAAGCCATGCAAATCCGATCTACATGTGTTTTGTTTATTTTTGCTTGACAAAAATGATACTGTAACTTATGGCACCATATTAAAGCTCTTTGAAAGAGCAAAAACTCACTGAGATTAATTTCTATAATTTTTTTAATAAAGGAATATTTTCTTATCAGTGAGATAGTATGGAAATCTGTACTGTATTGTACATTGTAATTTTGCTGAATATGTGTATTTTTAAAAATAAACATTTTATCTATTATTTCACGTGTGCTTTAATGAGAGGACTTGAATAAGGACAAAGGTCACATCAAACATCAATAAAGTAAACAACCCCTAATATTTGACATGTTCTTTTGTATCCCTTTGATGAGCAAATCCAGACCAATATTACAATATTTCACCATCTCTATGTCATACAGTCTCTTATCACTCGACAAATAATTTAATCATATCTTGGAAAAAGGCAGTATTTCTATGAAGGCAATCAATAACGTCTAAAAGGCAAAGAGCGTGTTTGCTTGTGCAAATAATTGAATTGGTTTTCATAGATGTCTATATTTGACGAGTAAACAACGGTGCAGTTTTTCTGGCATGACTTCAATCTACAACAGAAAGACATAAAATGTGTTGTTCATCATAAAAAAATTTATTCGTTTGGTTTAGCTGCAAACATGACATCAAATATAAATGTAAACAAACTCACGCAACAACACAAACTATTGCTTGTGTGACAGTCGCTGTGTGTAAAACACTGAGGTACAGTGGCGTCCAAACGTCTGAGAGCACAAGCTGGGATTGTGTTTATTTAAACCGGGAAATACATATGTTTGAAGAAAAGTTATGATGTAAAATTAAGAAGAAATATGAACAATGAACTGAAAAATCGACTGTTTGCTATTGTCCTCTTTTTAGAGCTGATTTTTGTTTGCATCATTGAAACATTATTTTCTGGTTTAACACTGTAAAGCTGCTTTGACACAATCTGTATTATATGAAGCACTATAGAAATGACTTGACTTTAGACAACCGTCTTCCATTGATTGAAGCTCAAGATGCTCTTTGGATCTGAAGCACATGAACATCAGGTTTAGTTTATCTAGATTCAATGCTGCTGAGAGACATCCAGCAAATAATGAGATATTCCCACATTTTATGTTCATTTTAAACCTACATTTCTCTCTCAAACTATGATAATATAATTTGCAATGAAAAGAGAAGCACTTTAGGTCTGAGACTTTTGGACCTAACTGTACGTGAGAACTAACTTGATGCAGCCAGTTAAAGAGAACGATAAACTCTTTGGCAGTTCTCATCAGGTTGTGTACAGAAGAGTTGCATGTTGTCCCTGACTGACGCCGCGTGCACCTGCATGCGTGAGCCGATATATAACTGTGACTCAGACGGTCCGTTTGTTCTGATTTCAGCAGGTCAGATAAGTCTTGCCAAGTTGAAAAGGGTGTCATTCACTGTACTTAATAAACACACCAGCAGAATGCCAGTAATATTAGTAAAAACACCATAAAAATTATGCTACAAATCAGAAAACATTGCAATGCCTTCATCTATCAGTAAATGCTCATGAATCAACCTCAAAACATCAAAGTGTTGCATGTTGCCCTTACAGTAAAGCTTCCAGTGTTATTTTCAAATCAACATTACGCAATAAACTGAAGGGCTTTTAATGTGTAATGTAGAAAGTTAAAATTTATGTTAAAAACTCGTAGTTGCATAAAGACTTTCAATGCACTTATGAAAATTTACCATGATACTCAGTTTCCACAAGTGGAGACACATATACAAAAACTACAGCACATTTTCACAGGAAACTTTGTATTATAATTACGATCAAACAAAACACACTGTTAAAAAATGATTTTTCAAAGCTGTAAATATAACAAAGCTTATTACAGTTTTTGCCTATTGCTTGAACACTTTTTGCAAAACTTCGGCTCATTGTGTCAAAACTTTACACACAAGCACACAAGACACAACACTGGGAAATAAACAATTCACATCTATGTCGAATTGAAACTCTGCTATCAAAACCTAACAATCCTTTGTCAAAAGGTCACTCTGATGACAAAATGATACACACTTGCATCATATGAATACACTTTCAGATTAGCAGCAACACACTAGTGTACTTTATATAAAACACTGCAGTCTTTAATTTTCACTGTTTTTATTCAGTTCATCAGTTAGCATTCTTTGAAGCTCAGTGCAACATTTACAGTTTTTGTTCTGTTTTTTTCCAACAAAGGTTTTCACAACAACCAAAAATGAAAGTACTGAAAGGTTACAAATGACATCAACTCAATACTGCACATCACAGTACTATACTTTACAGTACAGTACAGTAAAACATTAACTGAATCCAGTAATAAAAAGTAATCAAATCATCAGTTAGTACAGAGAGGGAAGTCGATATTTATTATATTTACTGTACATTGGTTTTCCAAGCAATGGATTACTTAAGAACAATGGCAAGAGCCAAAGAGAGACATCCATTCATGACCTCTTTATATCAGATAATATAATCGTCAGAAGCTATAAACTACTACTTACACATTTATATATATGCGGTGTCCGAAACCATTAAATTTTTCACTCATTTACCATTTTGTAACCTGCTCAATGGTACTTAAAGTTTCCAAAAGGGAACGGTTTTGGGTTTCCCAAAAGAACCTTTCAGTCAATAGTTCTTAAAAGAACCATAATTTTCCTAGTGAAACACTGAAAACAAAAAAGTTAGGCGGACAAACAATTTTTACTCAGAAATTGCCAGTAAATTTCACAAACTATTACAAATAAATGGCAAGTAACAGTGAATTAAACAAAAAAACAAAAAAATCTGAAATAGTATTTTCTTGTAATCCAATAATCACCGTTTCATTTACAACTTTGAAAAATAATTTTTATAGTACAGTATCATGGTCATTTTTTGAGAGTTCGTTTTTCCATGCCAGTAAACACTATAGACAACATCATAACTTGTGTTGGGTCAGAGAAGGCTGTGTGTGTGTGTGTGTGTGTGTGTGTGTGTGT